TTAAGAACAGTTTCGGGTTAAGAAGGGACCTCCGGAACGAATTAAGTTCTTAACCCGAGGTACCACTGTACTGCAGTCACACAATCAATCAGTCAGTAACTGAACTGGGTTCCACATAGTCACAAAAAAGATAGCCGCAACAACAACGCAAAATAAATAGCAAAAACAGACAGACCTCAGTGTAACACTCAAAATGGAAGTGTGTAACACTCAGATCGGAAGCATAACACTCAAAATAAAGCACATTCAGCTTCTTAAAAAAGTTCGCAAACCGGAACACTTACTTCCGGGTTTGCAGTGTTTGGGTTCCAAGTTGTTTGAGTACCAAGGTGTTTGAGAACCAAGGTACCACTGTATATTAAAGGTCTTTCCATACAGTAGTATGGATTAAGCCAAACTTTCTCCCTAAGATGGCAAGTTTCTAGGCAGAAGGGTTTGGGGTATTTTTGTATGGAAGAGCATTCAGCCACATCATGTTCCACCCCATCTCCAGCCCCGAGTTATGCAGCTCAAATACAGTTCCCATACCAAACTAGAAGTGATGTTTGCTGTGCATTTCTAAAAACAGTGTGGGACGTCTCACATACAAGCCCATTTAAACAAGCATCCTTGAGGGTGTTTAGCTGTGCATTTGCTAATGATCATAGTTTACAGACACTGGTTGCCTCTGGCTTTTAAGAGAACAGCAAGGTCACTTCCCCTCCACTACCCACCCCACCTTTGAGTCCATTTCCAATTAACTCCCAAGTTACTCAACATCCTATACATAATATATGACAGAGCAGTTTGGTGCAAAGAGCAAATGAACAATCCTCTCCGATGAGCTCATTAATTGTCTCAAGGCATCTCCCCTTGTGTGCCATCAGAAAGGCAATGTCAATAAAGCTCAGCTCCTGCGACACCAAATCATCTCTGCCATCGCCTTGGCCTGCTTCCCTATACTCAGCAACTCTCATGAGGAAGCCTGCTTTGGTCTGGGTCCTGGCAGGAGGAAACATTGGTGGCTCCAATTTAGGAGATGTCCAATAACCCAGAGGCAACCCCTGTCCTCTGTCAACCTACTTGGACCCCCCCAGGATCCACCTCCTGACTCCCTGAAACACTGGCCCCCTCCTCCAGCTCACACATTTCCTGATTTCACCTCTATCATCCCGCTAGAACCTTCTCCCTGATCTCCTCCTACTGCTCCTCGGGATCTGACTGGGTGAAGTTAGAGGGGCAGAGGGCAACTGCTCCGCCTGAATCAAGTAAATAAACAAAATACTCAACTAAAAGTGGAAATAATCAGAATATTTGAAACTGAAATGCTCACTGAGGTCACTTGGATGATGTTGTGTTGCATTCTAGTGGCGCAACTGCCAATCCGGCTGAGCGATGGACGTGGCTTCCACAAATTTACCAATCGCATTTTAGGTAGCTCAGTCCTGCCCCCCTCCAACATAAATCCCGCCCATGACATCTCCATGGGGCTCATGAGATCATCTGCTAATCGGAGATGACACAGAAAGAACCCAGAATCTTCTGCGTGCAAAACAGATTGGGCGAATTCATGCTGTTCTGTTTTGGTTGCAATGGTTTTACTAGGCTTCCCCCCGCCTCCATAATCACAACTTTTAAACTTGCTTTTAGAACTATTTGATTATAATGTTGTAACCCCAACCCCCAGAAACTTGTGGTGAAAAGTGGGTAAGAAATATTACGGATAAATAGATGTTCTACTACTGAGCTACTGTCCCTGTTGCATAGTGAGATGAAGAGGCAATGCCTTGATTGGTTGATTGGCGCCCAATAAGGCCACAACTGGGGGTGGGATTCAGACTCCGACATCTGTCGTCCAAGTTGGATTCAGACACAGACTCTGTCATTTTAGGTCTCGATAATAAATCAAAACTAATTCCTTACATAGAAAATGTGTTAAGGACTAGCAGAGGAGATAATAGCCCGTGTTAAAAGAAGACCAGCTGTGTCTAGTTACATATTCTCCAGGCTACTACAATAGGAATGGAATTTGTGGGAAACTGCTGCGTTGCAGCTGTTAGGGCTGGAGGTTGTCTCAGTACTTTAAAAAGGACAAAGTATGTCCTGTCCATTTGTTACGGATAACAAGGTCCTCCACATGTCCCCGCACCTACTCAATTTTCTCCTCTCATCAATCATCAGCCACTTACTCAGAGAGTTTCATGGATGAGGGAGGATTTGCATCCGAGTCTCCCGAATTAAACCACTGTACCACACTGATTCACTTTTTAACACTCTGCGTTTGAATGCTCTGGATTTGCAGGGAGCCGATAGCAGTGGCATAGCGAGGGCTGCTGATGCCCGGGGCTAGCAAGTTGCCACAGGAGCAACCTGAACCAAGCAGGGCCCTGTGAACCACCTGCCTGCCCACACAGGGGGTAACCCAGCCAGCCAATGTGGCCCTTGGCAGGTGAATCCCTCCAGCACCCAGGTAGAGGAGTGCCAGGCTGGGCGGTGCTGGGGTTGCCCCTTGCCCACCTTCCTCCATGCACGCCCAGGCTGCTCTGCCACCTTTGCCAGGGTGGGACACGGATCCCTGTGAAAGCTGGCGCTGGGGGGCACCTGATTGCACCCCCTCAGAATTTTGCACCCAGGGCCATGACCCCCCAGTCGCCCCATGCTACGCCACTGGCTGCATGGAAATTTGGAAGGGCAGAGCATAAATGTCCAAATGCAAATTCACATCTGGGAGACCCCAAGCGATCGTTTCTTCCACGTCCCCCTCCACCTGCACATTATTAATCCATTAGTTAATTAATACCTCGCTTAACTGCCAAAGCAGCTTCCAGATTGTGCATGCACACACAGCCACTTCCCAGTTGTACTTACGACATCTATAAGCTGTGCAATGGACAGTCCAAAGCGCACAATGACCACGTCCGAAATATTGGCCACCGGCCGGGACCACTTGTTGTACCCAGAGAAGAGTTTCTTCAGGAGGCGCTCCTCTGCGTGGGCTCGAGTTTCAACGTGGCTGAATGCTGCGGAGAGAGCAAAAGATGTGTGTGCACGTGTAACTAAATCATTTATTCAAAAACGGGATAAGTATAAGAGATATTTACAGAATAATAACAGCGGTACAATATCTACGGCAGCGTTTGAATGACCCATGTCTAAACAAACTGTTAAGAAACAAGCAAAAAGGTACGAATTGTTGTAAGAAAGTATTAGAAAATACAGAAAGGTAATAATGATAAGTACATTCATCACCAGAGAAGTTCTATGCATCGGGAAAGGATAGGAAGTCTATTCTATGTTAGGAAAAAGATAGGAAAAAAGAGATTGCACAAACTTAGTTTAAATTTAATTTATGTAAACATATGTAAGATTATAGGGACACGGGTGGTGCTGTGGGTTAAACCACAGAGCCTAGGGCTTTCCGATCAGAAGGTCGGCGGTTTGAATCCCCGCAACTGGGTGAGCTCCCGTTGCTCGGTCCCTGCTCCTGCCAACCTAGCAGTTTGAAAGCATGTCAAAGTGCAAGTAGATAAATAGGTATCGCTCTGGCGGGAAGGTAAACAGCGTTTCCATGCACTGCTCTGGTTCATCAGAAGCGGCTTAGTCATGCTGGCCACAAGACCCAGAAGCTGTACGCCGGCTCCCTCAGCCTGCAAAGCAAGATGAGCACTGCAACCCCAGAGTTGTCCGCGACTGGACCTCACGCTCAGGGGTCACTTTACCTTTACCTTTATGTAAGATTATTAGTACAGTGGTACCTCTGGTTACAGACGCTTCAGGTTACAGACGCTTCAGGTTACAGACTCCGCTAACTCTGAAATAGTACCTCCGGTTAAGAACTTTGCTTCAGGATGAGAACAGAAATCGTGCTCCGGCGGCACGGCGGCAGCAGGAGGCCCCATTAGCTAAAGTGGTGCTTCAGGTTAAGAACAGTTTCAGGTTAAGAACAGACCTCCAGAACAAATTAAATACTTAACCCGAGGTACCACTGCACACGATTGTTTTCATATTGGTATATTGTGTATGTTACCTATGAATTTCAATAAAGTATTTAAAATGGGGGGGGGCAAAACAAAACAAAACAAACATGTGTACCTAAAGTCATAAAATGAATAAGGGAAAGCATAGGTTTCTCTAAACTACTTTGTGCCCTGGAGCTCAGTGCGATATACAGACCTTACTAGGCTGACAACAACCCTGGGAGGGGCAAGGTGAGAATGGCAGCTGCCCCACCGTCTTGTCTGCTACTGCCTGCTGGTCTTTTATGCAGGGCTGAGAAACTCAACTCGGCCATGAGCTCTTGGCTGGCTCATGGGTGGAGCTGAATGCGTGAACGGGCACCACTGAAAAAGCACCACATGGGAATTCTCTCTGTATTGTGGCAGCTCCATTCACTCAAACGTCTTGATGCTACAGATGCCAAAGGGATGAATGGATGAGGTACAGAATTAGGGATGTGTTGGGGAATGCCTTCTTCACAAATGTCAATACCAATGGACCTGATCCTCAGCACATGTGGATCCTTCGAATTTCACATCTCTGGGTTTTGCCCTGCATTTCTCAGCTCAAAAGAATACTGCAAAATGCTTTTTAAAATGCATGCTTCAGAATAAAATGCAAGGCTTTGAGAGCAAATACATTCAGAAATGCATATTTTGTGAGGAAAATGTAATCAGAAATGCCACATGAATATGAATTTGTGTGTGTTTCTTTTTAAAAATCACACATGAATGATGTGAAATTGATGTAGATTGGGAAAAGGCTGATCCATCCATCCCTATGCAGAAGTTATTTATCTGAGGATGTCTCTAGGAGAGTTCATTCGCGCAGGAAAACCAATGCTTGATCATATATTCTAACCACTCATTGACTGTATCACCAGGTATTGACTTGCATGTGTGAACCTGCCCTTCATTGGAGGCCACCAGAGGGCTGTGCACCAAATTATGCCAAGGCCTGAATTGGGTCAATTTTGGGGATCTGGGCATCATTCGAGTCAGATGGAGGTCCAGCGCCGAGGGCCTTCTGGCAGTTCCCTCATTGCGAGAAGAAAAGCTACAGGGAACCAGGCAGAGGGCCTTTTCGGTAGTGGCGCCCACCCTGTGGAACACCCTCCCACCAGATGACAAAGAAATAAACAACTACCTGACATTCAGAAGACATCTGATACTACACTTGATCTTAGCCAAAAGGCCGAGAAGCGATCATTCAGAAGACACCTGAAGGCAGCCCTGTTCAGGGAAGTTTTTTATGTGTGACATTTTAATGTACTTTTAATCTTTGTTGGAAGCCGCCCAGAGTGGCTGGGGAAACCCAGCCAGATGGGCGGGGTACAAATAATAAATGATGATGATGATGATGACAGTCCCAGGTTATTGCAGGTTGGGGTCTCATGACCCAGAGTGATATGGGTCTGTCAGGGGGTGGGGGACAAGACAGGCAGGAGGGAAATGGTAGAAGGGCTGAGAGTAGAATGGACCTACCTCACCAGGTATGTCTTATTGGGAAAACATCGGAGTGGGGAGGTGGAAGACTCTGGGTGCAGGGTGCGGTCTTTCAGGCTTGGATGTGGGCTGTGGACTTTCTGGCCTGACCTGTCCTCCCAATGCCCTGCCCCCAGAAGCAGCACTGCACGGGATAGCATCCTCCTCATAGCAGCTGATAATTGGAGGATTCTACTTTGTAGGGTTTAGGGATGCAGGTGGCACTGTGGGTTAAACCACAGAGCCTAGGGCTTGCCGATCAGAAGGTTGGCGGTTCAAATCCCTGCAACGGGGTGAGTTCCCATTGCTCGGTCCCTGCTCCTGCCAACCTAGCAGTTCGAAAGCACATCAAAGTGCAAGTAGATAAATAGGTACCGCTCTGGAGGGAAGGTAAATGGCATTTCCGTGCGCTGCTCTGGTTTGCCAGAAGCGGCTTAGTCATGCTGGCCACATGACCCGGAAGCTGTACACCAGCTCCCTCGGCCAATAAAGCGAGATGAGCGCTACAACCCCAGAGTCGGCCACGACTGGACCTAATGGTCAGGGGTCCCTTTACCTTTACCTTACCTTGTGGGGTGCTGGGTGCTGCTGCTTCCCAAGGCACCTCTCCTGCAGGGAAAGTGCTCACAAAGGATCGGCACCACACAAAAAGGGACTGCTCCACCTACCAGCTGGTAAACAGAGGGTTCCATCATGTGGGGTGCAGGCTGCTGCTCCTTCATGAGGGATCTCCCTGCAGGGAATGCAGTTATGAATGATCATCACCCCACAGAACTGAACCCTCATGTTCTTGGTCCAGAGAGGGGGAAGGAGATACAGTGGTGCCTCCTCCTTCCCCCCCTCTACTCGTTACATTTAATTTGGTTTTTAAAAATCTTAATTAGTTCCACCTCCAAATTGCTCTAGGGCTGGATATGGGGTGGAGTGGATGAACCCCCAGTCAGATGCCTCCCAAAAGACGACATGTTTATCCAAGTGCTTCTGGTTATACAGTAAATGGCGATTCTAGTGTTCACAAATAGTATGTGGTACAGCTCTTCCCATGAAGGACTGTACCACCTCGAGCTCCAGAGTGGAGGAATGTTGGAATGCTCTGCCACTACAAAAGCATTTCCTGCATGAGGAAAGGTAGCAGGTCCGTGTGATGGTGGAGCTATGCTGAAACCCTTCTTCCTGACCTGCTCGCTTTCCACAGGTCGGGAATGTTTCCCTGTATGGAAGCTTCAAAGGTGGGATCCCACATCTGAGCCAGGAATCAGAAAGGCCTACGATCCAACACCAGAAACAAAATCATCTTCACTGCCAGGTGCCATCACATGGCCAACACTGGGAGGCAAACAGCCACCTACAGCACTCTGGACAGAACCAGGGACTAATAGATGCCACACATGCCAAAAGCGAGCTTGAGAACTGGTGACTAGTTCACACAGCTTGTGAGTAGTCACAGAATCATAGGATCATCTAGTCCAATGCAGGAGTATGCGGCTGTCCCATACAGGGATCGAACCTGCAACCTTGGCATCATCAGCACCGTGCTTTCACCTGTTGAGCTATAAGTACTGAAGACAAACATGTCTAGATTCACCTCCCTTCTATGAATACACACATACAATGGTTGGTTCATGTTTTATGTTCTGTACCCTTTCCTGGAGGGACGCGGGTGGCGCTGTGGGTTACACCTCAGAGCCTCGGACTTGCCGATCAGAAGGTCAGCAGTTCAAATCCCTGTGAGCTCCCGTTGCTCGGTCCCTGCTCCTGCCAACCTAGCAGTTCAAAAGCACGTTAAAGTGCAAGTAGATAAATAGGTACCACTCGGGCAGGAAGGTAAATGGCGTTTCTGTGTGCTGCTCTGGTTTGCCAGAAGCGGCTTAGTCATGCTGGCCACATGACCCGGAAGCTGTACACCGGCCCCCTCGGCCAATAAAGCGAGATGAGCGCCACAACCCCAGAGTCGTCCGCGACTGGACCTAATGGTCAGGGGTCCCTTTACCTTTTACCCTTTCCTGGTATCTGTCTCGATGCAGAGTGAGTTATAACTATTTTTTAACAAATGGGATAAATTTTAGCTGAAAGCCAGTTGTGAATCATAACATCCTTGACTATTAAAGTCTTTCAAGGAAGTGGTAAGTTGCGATCAACGTATGTGCCGGATTTCCTGATCTTGAAAAGAATTACTAGGAAGCAAGCCCCATTGAACTCTCCAGAACATTTGCTATTTGTATTGTTCTGGCTGTTACAAACAGCTAAGAAATAGTGGGAAGAGAAGTGGAGGAAAGGCAGGGACAGAAACCAGCAGTGTGTGTTGCCTTTTTTCCCAGTGTGTCCATTTTGCTACGTATCCAGAAAAGCTTCCCTTAGCCTATCAGGTGGAAAAGTAGATGTTGTGTTTTACATGTAAGTAAACATAAACTAGACAGCATCTAAAAAAGCAGAGACATCACCTTGCCAACAAAGGTCCGTATAGTTAAAGCTATGGCTTTCCCAGTACTGATGTATGGAAGTGAAAGCTGGACTATAAAGAAGGCTGATCGCCGAAGAATTGATGCTTTTGAATTATGGTGCTGGAGGAGACTCTTAAGAGTCCCATGGACTGCAAGAAGATCAAACCTTCCTTCCATTCTGAAGGAAATCAGCCCTGAGTGCTCACTGGAAGGACAGATCCTGAAGCTGAGACTCCAGTACTTTGGCCACCTCATGAGAAGAGAAGACTCCCTGGAAAAGACCCTGATGTTGGGAAAGATGGAGGGCACAAGGAGAAGGGGACGACAGAGGATGAGATGGTTGGATAGTGTTCTTAAAGCTACCAACATGAGTTTGACCAAACTGCGTGAGGCAGTGGAAGACAGGAGTGCCTGGCATGCTCTGGTCCATGGGGTCACAAAGAGTTGGACACGACTAAACGACTAAACAACAACAACAAACATGTTTAAGAATGGGCTGTAAAAAAGCTCCAGGTTTGACACGGATTTTCTTTATGACCATAGAAATCCCCTTTCTCCCAGTTTCAGTTCCCCATTCATAAAATAGTCTAGCTAGCCTACCTCACAAGGTTGTTTTTCTTTGTTTGCTTTGGTGGGGGCTAATACACACAAGTGAGCATTTTGCAATAGTAAACAGGCCTCGTAAATGATAAATATTCATAGGAGAATTAACCAATTTAGGATAGGAGGCAGGAACAAGGTTTCCAAGAATTCCTTTGATTTGGCCACCCTCCCCCCAGTTCTTCTCCCCAAGCATTTATATCTGAATCAGATAATCAGCTCTCTCGGGTGAGATTTAAGAAGGCCGAGGCCCTCACTGGCTTGAAAAAGCTTAAGGCTGCTGCAGAATCATTAAGTGAACTCTCTGAAGTGCAGCTTGGTTTGTTTGGGAAGCAAGCAAACAAATGAATAGAGTCCAGCTTGGCTCAGAAACTGCCAAGGAAAAGGCTTTTGCAATCTTTACAGCCACCTTCCCAAGGCAAGGATGCAGTGGAGGGGGAAAGCCAAGATGTTTGGCACAGAGAGCCACTAAACCACTTCCATTTACATGGGGAAAGTGAACTCCTTAATGCTAATAAAACTGCTCCAGAGTAAAAGAAAGAAAGAAAGAAAGAAAGAAAGAAAGAAAGAAAATTATCTCAAAATGCAACACAGATGGTATTTAACACCTGAAAGAATAGCAAAAATGAATAAAAATTGTAGCGAGGTCTGCTGGCGATGCAACACTGGAAAAGGTACTATGATACATATATGGTGGAATTGTTTAAACATCAAACAATTTTGGGAAACAGTATATAACGAAATGAAAAGAATGTTCAGATATTCATTTAGGAAAACACCAGAAGGTTTTTTATTGGGAATAGTACCAGGAAGCCTAAAGGAAGAAGACAAGACCTTATATTTATACGCAACAGTAGCCGCAAGGCTATTGATTGCGAAAAATTGGAAAAGTGGTACTGTACCAACAAAGATAGAGTGGCTTGCCAAATTATTGGAGTACTACAATATATCCAAAACAATGGGAGAAATTGGAAGGCTCTCAAAAGAGAAGGCAGACAGGGACTGGAAGGTGTTTAAAAGATACTTGCAAAACTATATTGAAAAATCAGAACTCCTATTAGAATAAACAAGTTTCGTTTCAAATATTGGAATACTAAATAAGATGGATAACAATGTGTAATAGAAAAAGAAGTATGAAATTAGGTTAAAGGTGTGTGAAAGAAAGTAATAGAAGTGGAAAGAAATTGCAGTTGAGTAGATTGGAAGTCTAACACAAAGGGTGAGGGGTGGTGGATGGTGATGGGAATTATCTGTGGGATTGAGTGTAGGTATGTTGTAGGTATGTTGTATGTATGTAGGTATGTTGTATGAAATGTATGTTTGTATGTTTGTATGTGTATTAATGTTGAATTATTTTAACAATAATTTTTTTTAAAAAAAACACAAAAAACTGCTCCAGAGTAAGCAGGCAGCGGATTGCACAGCCACCATTTCCACTAGTGCTCAGCAAAGCTTTTCATGCTTTAGCCTGTCCTGGATTATATTATATTTTCTTTCTTTCTTTCTTTTTGAAGAGGAATGGGAAGGCTATATCTGGGAGATAATAAGACACCCTTGAAGGAGAGAGGGAGAGAAAACAGGTGCTGAGAGCAGGGAGGGAAGGGAGGAAAACAGAAACCAGACAATTAAAAAAGAGAATGACTTTTCACAAAAGCCAGCCTTTGCAACTAGGAGTGTAAATCAAATTAGCCCCAAGGTGGCTAATGAACTTGCCACTCCTTCTAGTGCTTTTCTGAATGTATTGAGATTGTTATTATGGTGCAAACAATCTTTTCAACAGTCGTGCAGAAGTAGGACTGTATCCCCACCACAAACATATTGTAGACTGGAGAGAAAGTTGAGTCTGGTAGAGGCATTTGTTGTTGTTTATTGTTCCTAGTAAGTTTCTTGCTGAGGTTAAGACTTCTCAGTTTGTACTCTAAGGTGGGGTTTGAGGACCCTGCTCACACTGGCAGGAGCTCTGTCCTGCCTTCATGGCATCCTCTCTGACATCTAAACCCTGATACCTACTCCCAAAGTCACAGCAGCTGGCTGTGGTTGTCTAGCAGCAAGCCAATGCACTCTGCACATGCTCCAGGGAGCCCATTCTCCAGCCATTCATCAGGTACCAAGTAAATAAACAAACACATTCCAAAGCAGCGGTGGTTAAAAAGGCTGGACAATCTGTAACGCTCCCCAGACAGAGGGGCAAGTTAGCTCTTGTCTACCCCGCTGCAAATTCAGAGGGACCTGAAAAAGGACAATATCAGCCGTGTCCAAATCTTGCTTTGCATGTGTCTCTCTTCACCTAGAGCTTGACTGAAGCCCAAGTATCCTAGATCTCTGTTTCAACATGTGGTGTAAACCTCAAGGGAGTGCTGGTGAGGTGTAGCAGGCAAAGGGCTTGTCTATGCCAGCCTTGCCTAGCCTGATGCTCCCCGGTTGTTTTTTGGACTACAAATCCCACCATTGCTGGGCTGCTGGGGGTTTAAGTCCAAGGAAAGGAGCAGGGGTCCTCTGTACGCTGAAGGTCCTATGTTCAGTCTCTGACACCTGCAGTTGAAGGGAGCAGGTAGGATGTGATGGGAGATGCTCCTCTCTGCCTCCATCCTGGAGAGATGGTGCCGTTCAGCCCTATCTTGGGTTGATGGCCAAACCACCTGAGCTGAGATCAGGCAGTAGAGGCTTATCCATAAGGGGGAATGAATCTCTCCATGCCACAACTTCAGCCTGCCTGCTGTCTTCCTTACAACCGGTCGAGAGGGTGACACTGGCTGCCAGGGTCCTCCTCAGTCTCAGTGTGAGAATCATGGGGTTTTAGAGTTGGAAAGGGACCACAGCAGTCATCTAGTCTGATCTCCTGCAGTGCAAGAATCTTTTTGCCCAATGTGGGGCTCAAACCCACAACCCTGCCATTAAGATCCTGTCCTGCCTTCTATATGCAGAAGCTCCCAGATTCAATCCCCAACATCTCCTGGTAGGGCAAGGCACTATTCCTTGCCTGAAACCTTGGAAAGCTACGGAACAGCATCAAAGTCTGGACTGGGCTGGATGGATGGACTAATGGTCTCACACAGTATAAGGCAACTTCCTGTGTTCCTGACCTTGTACAACTCTGCAGGGAGGCCAAACTAACATTAATTGGCTTTATCTGTGGCTGGTCCTGGATTGCTCCCCGCTCCCTCCCCTGTTGGTCTCCCTGCCCAGCATTCATAAGGGTCTCCTGCTGCCCCACCTTACCTGGTTCTTATGGAGCTTTCTTTCTGGCTGAAACTCACAAGATGACCTTGACCCCTGTTGCTGCGTCCCAGCCTAATCTACCTCACAGGGTTGTTGTACGGATACAATGGGGAAAGGTTTGTGTGTTTGCTTGTGGGCTTCTCCATGGGAAGGAAGACATCCAGATGAGACAAGCTACATTCCGAGAGTCACTGTGTTTGAGGGGGCTGGGTTCTAATCTCGGCTCTGCCACAAGGCTGATCTGCTGACTTTGGACCAGTTTCGCCACATAGCCTCCCTCAGAGGGCTGGTGCTGCTGCTGCTGCTG